TGAATAAAAACACACTCATTTCGTTTATAACAATTGCATTTGTTATAAAAAACGGAAACGGGTTTTATTCGAGGTGTTGTTTCATTTTTTCCACTAGGAAGTTGGTCGTGTGGACCTTTCGGGTCGCATCCAGTTGTATTTTTTCTTTATCTTGATGATTTTTGCATGATCATTGTATACTGGCCAAGGTACTTTTTGATTATCTTCTTCCACATCTACTTCAGATTCCATATCCGATTCTGTGTGATATTTCAGAAATTTCGAAAAAGCTGTTTAGCACTGCAGCCAAGCGATGCAAATAGTGAACTAAGAATGCTTCACGGTCACATAGGCTGACAAAAGAATGGTGATGCGACGCTGTAGTACATGTGATTGTTGTTAGGCACGCAAATATACAGAAAGTGATGCTACCATCGATTTTTAAACGTACATAATGCCAACAAGTTAATTAATTTAAATAAATTTTTTTAAGCAAGTATATACTTGGGAAAAATACTTGTTTAAAAGTATTTAAATACAAATGCAAATACTTGGCTTGATATTTTTTATCGAAAAAGAAATTTACATAATTACAATCATTATAGCAACTTTTCAACAATTTATATATAATTATTTATTCTGTTGAGTTGAACTGTATACAAATCGTTTTCAGATTAAAAAATATTTGCAAAATCAAATGAAATAAAGAAAATTTTGTATTTAAATACAAATAATAAATACTTTCATCCAAAAGTATTTCAAATACAAATACAAATATTCTAAGAGTATTTGAGTAGAAAATTTTAAATACTTTACTAGTATGAAAATAAAAATTTAATAAATGCATCACTAGTTTCAATTAATTGTACAGCGAGAAGGAATCAATAATGATGAATAATTTGTGAAATTTAAAGCGTTATAGTAGCTGAACTTTACTCGTATTTAATATTGAAATGTGAAGTAATAGATACCGTAAAATAACATAAATAGTGTTAAAAATGCTGTACAGATTACTAAAAAAAAATTGACTAGTATCTTACAATAAAAATACAGCAAGAGTTTTTTTTAGTGAAAGACTAAAGCTTATACATATAAATATATATTCCATATATATTTATGTAATATGAATTTGTCCCTTGCCAGACTGTGTTTAAACTATTTTATAAGAAAACTTAGTTTAATCTACATTTTTTAAGAAAGAAAAAGTTTCTATTAGTCCCTATAGTGTATGTGTGCGCGATGTGGCATGAAATCTTGAGAATTTTGAAATCTTTACTTAGTGAGACCGCGACTTTCCTCGCGTGAAAGTAGCCAGGTTTAGTTGAGATAGTAATTTCTATATGTCTAATAAAAAAGGAAAAGATAGACAAAACAGTGCAAATACAGTACACTCTTTCTCTGAGCCCTCTTTTGAAGTATCTAGTTTTTACTCTGTTTTTCTTATGAAAAAGCTTTTTCCAAGTTATTTTCTTCTAATTTTTTCTAAAAGATCATACCTCCATGACTTGGGAAAAAGAGATTTTTCTACCACTTTATTTAGGAAATATACTCACTTGAATTTATGCAAAAATATGTGAGCTCTGAAGACTGTCTTTGATCAATTCTACCGAAAATTGATGATTTATAAAAAATGATCTCATCTTCCTTACAGAAAAAACATCTTAACATGGAGAATAATACTTAAAATTTATTTAAGTTGAATTTTAACATGATTCACCACACAGTTTTTTTAAATTTATGTTGTAGCATTTTATCTCGAGGTTAGTCTTCATTTTTCACCATATTTGCTAGGAAACAATGGCGGCAAAATAACTTTATGTAATTTAAAGTTTTTCATTAACAGCTGATGTGTTGAACTCATAAATTATCATTATATGGTAATTGTATACATATCATATGCACATATTGTATAGAAGGTTGTTTTATAAGAAAAAAAAATTTTTTTAAAAACTACCTTGATATTAAATTTTTGAATAATTTTGTAGTTAAAATTTTTTCGTAAGCTTTAAAAAGTTTTTCATAGTTGAAGAATTTATTCATTATCGTTATTTATTTTAAAAGATTGAGATATTATATTACACTGCGAATCCAAGTGTGTTATCCTTGTAGACTTTAGTCGAAACACTAGAAGAGTAACATTTGAGGTTATATGGAAAATGATTTATTTTAAGTTATTATTAATCAGAAATTACTATATAGGTAATTATTTTATACAGGAAATTCATTACAGGATAGGATTTAGTCAAAATTCGTCCTTAGAGTCAAATTTTAAGTCAATCGGACGTAAAGTTTCGGAAATCTCATGATAAGTGAGTTGGTGGTAAATTGTTTATATATATATATATGTATATAAACAATTATATAGGGTATATAGGTGCTGAAACCAATTGATAATTATGAGTCACGCCAAGTTATTGGTTGTTATGTTGAATGTGTTATAATACGTACAAAATTTTTTTGAAATAAAAACCTAAGAAAACAATTCACTTAAAATATTGTTAATTCTTAGATATAAATAATTGGCTTTTAATGATTTTAGTGCTTTTTGTAGTTCTATCATTGTCATTATTTATGCTTAGCTCACATTTTTGATCAGCCTAGAAGGAGGAGGCTGTTTTTGACGAGATCTCCTGTACTACTAATGTACTGTGTTAACATTCGAATTAGGTTAGGATTTGATTTTACTTCATGCATATTTCTGATAATATAGTTGTCCCGGAGAAAGTTTTCTTCGGGTGTTTCCGTGAAGTCAAGTCCGCAAAAAAAAGTAGTCCATCCAAAACTTTGACGCATGCGCACAATACTTTTATAGGTAAGAAATGTTCCGTTTTTACCGACTTAAGATATAAATGAAGATCTTTTGGCGGTTCTACTTTCAATTGTTTTGAATAACATTGATAACGTAGCTCTTCATTATTGAACAATATTACCAAAAATACTCATACGTTATAATTAATTGTTATAAACATCAAATTTCACTACGATTACATAAATAGCATAATTAGTTTAATAGTTTAATTATAAATAGTTAAGGTTTTGGAGTTCATGTGTGTGAAAATTTGTTGCTTGTGATTGTGATATCATTGTGGTTTTGATATTAATATTAATATTCATTTATTGGATTGTGTTTCTGTCTATCTATATCTATTGTAAGTTCGTTATTAATTGGATTTTTTTTTTCCATGACAATGAAGCAACATTCACCCAAGAAACCAAGGAAGCTGAAGAGATGGTCAATTTATACGAACGATAAAAGAGGAAGATCCTTTAATTCGCAATTCCAAGCTGCGATTTGTAATTTACACGAAGCCTTAGAAGTGGAGAAAAAGCTTGGAGATCTTTTAGTTCCTTTGGAAAACGTCAGGTATTTATATTCAATATTATCTTCATAAATAAATGGTAATGAATTGTAATGAAAGATAATATTTTTTATTTTCAGAGAAAGAGTTGCTACATATTTGAACATATCATTACCTAGTGTGACCAAATATGTGGAGATTGGGGCCACAGGGCAACAATTTGAGACTCCTGGGAAGGTTCGACCTCATCCTGCACCAAAACGGAGTATTCCTGATAAGGTAAAGGATGACATTTGCCATGTTATTTATGACATTTACAATCAGCGAAGGACTGTGACAGTAAAGGAGTTATTGCAGATAATAAGGTAAGTTTGCATGTTGTTTTATGGTTGTTTAAATTATAATTTTGCATGGTGTGGCCACTACATGCACGCAAATAAACTGGCATTTTACTTTGCTTTGTTTGGGGAAAATTTTGCCTGTGTTTATTCTTCTTTTCTCGTTCTTTTTCTTCCTATCAGAGAAAAGAAGATCGAATTTCACGGTGGAGAGGAGATTTTCCGGAAAATCCTGCATGATAAGGGATTTTCCTACAAAAAAAGGGATGGCAAGCGTTATGTGGTTGAACAACCACATATCATTTTTAAAAGATTAAATTTCCTGAAGGCATATAGGGACAACATGCTGGATTCCAAGAGACGAGACGTCGTCTTCTTAGATGAAACTTGGACATTTCAGAGAGGAACCGGAAAAACTCGCGATTGGCAGTCTGGAGATTTCCGGAGCTGTTCCATCAAGAGTGCTGCAACAGGGAGTAGATATTTGGTTTGTCACGCAGGTGGTGAAAATGGGTTTATTTCAGGTGCTTCACTACTGCTGAACACAAAGAAGAAACCAAAAGATGGAGACGATTATCATGGAGATATGGATGCAGCTTTATTTAAGAAATGGTTTTCCACGCAACTTCTTCCCAACCTGAAGAAACCATCTCTAATTATCATGGACAATGCTGCCTATCATAGTAAAATGGTATGTATCACAGTTTTAACATGAATTAATTTATGTATATTCATCTCAATAAGTTACTTAATAAGCGCCATCATCATTCTTTCAGGTAAATCCACAACCTTCATCGAACTGGACGAAAGCCCAACTCATGAAGTGGCTTGAAGAACGCAGCATTTCTTTTAGGATCGACGAGAAGAGTAAGGATCTCCTTCACATGTGCCAGGCTCATGAGGAGGATATAAAATATGAAATAGACGAAATAGTGGCCCAAACTGAGCATAAAATACTTCGTCTGCCTCCATACCATTGCTGTTATAACCCAATCGAGATGGTTTGGGGGATAACAAAAAGGTATTTTGACAAACATGTTGGTCGAGGGAATGATTTTTCTGAGGCCAACATGTTGAACATTTGGCAAGAGGCACTGGACCAGGTCGACGCCGGCATTTGGAGAAAATGCTGTCAGAAGGTGGAGGAGAAAATTTTACACGATTGTGCTCGTGAATTGGATGATCCAAATGTATATTTGTATATTTATATCTCGTCGTATCCGACTTTTTCCTATTTTTACTACTCTAATTTCTTTTTTCAGCTCATACAAGAAGTCGATGACACAAGCATCACACCAATGGATGTAGACACTGATGAAAATGACGATGATGATGAATGGGAAGACATAGCGGATGAAGAGATTGGCCTATTGAATGTCAGTGGAGTAGATTTTTTGCCAGAGCTCCGTGAGATGGAAGTGCCTTGTCAAGAAATCTCCAAAGTTGATAGCCAATCGTCAATCTTACCAAGGCTCCCTTCATGTAAAAGATCTCTTTTTGAGGCTTTCAACCAAGAAAAGGTAAGATTTATTTTACTGCAGTTTCGAGTTATAGTAAAATGCTTATTAACGTTTTCATTTTATATTTGTTTCAGAGTGATCAATCACTTTCGCCTCCTTTGCCCCAAATCTCTCAAGAGGAACTTAATATGGCTGTAAGCTATGTTGTGGATAACTCTGAGCCAAAAGTAACATCGCTGCTAGATGATTATAAGGTACTTCGTCATTATTTTACTTTTATTGCATTACAACAAACGCTAAGCTTATATTATTAATAAAAATTTTAGGACTGTTTGGGCCCGGATGACACACTAATCAAAACAAAGGTAAAAATATCGATATATGTGAGGGATTTAAAAACATTGTACCCTCCAACATGGCTGAATGATCAGGTAAGTGATATGAATTTTCCCTAGTAGACAGAGAGCAGATTAAGCAGCAGACTGTCGTAAATCTGACGCAGTTTTGACAGAACAGAGCAGAACTATATCAGACTTACAGCAGTCTGCTTCTTAATCTGCTTTATGTCTACTGGGGGTGTTACTACCTTTACATTATATCTATTCACTATGTATTAACTTGTTTCAGATCATCAATGTCTACTTCGAGATGATTGCAGAAAGGGGAGCACCGTCAATTTACGCCTGCAACACCTTCTTCTTTCAACAGCTGGTACGTGGAGGATACACATCTGTAAAATCATGGACTAAAAAGGTAGGCATTATTAAACTATACACCTCATTTAACATTCTTTGCAGAAATTGATTCTTATGGTATGCATTGTGCTCTTCAACAGGTTCGAATATTCTCCATGCGAATGATGATGGTACCAATTCATCTGGGTGCTCATTGGTGTTTGGCGGTGGTAAACTTTGAAGATCAATCGATCATTTATTATGATAGCCAGTATGGAAAAAATGATCCATGCCTCCAAGTAAGTAGTTGATTAAAATTGTATATATTTATTGCGACAAAAAATAACCATCTGTGCAAATTATTTTCAACAGGCTTTGCTGGATTACCTGTGCGAAGAGCACCTGGCCGTGGAAAAGAAGCCCCTCGATCGAACTTTATGGACCCTACATCACGCCAAGGTAAGTAAAAAACTAATTCCGAATCTATTGTTTTCATTCGTTCCATAATATTGTCAATTTGTTCTTTTCAGGGTATTCCAAGGCAATTTAATGGGTATGATTGTGGAGTGTTTGTCTGTGCTTATGCTGAGCACATTTCAAGAGGCGAGCCACTCAATTTTTCAGCGAAGGATATGTATAACATTCGAGGACAAATATTGGATGAAATAATATCCAATGTGTTACACTTCCCTTCGAACACAAAACACTACAGGAGAGAAAACTAATCAGTAAGTATCATGCATGCAAAAGATAATAATTAAGTACCGTGTAATCAAAAATGTTTTATTTCCAGGCATTGGATCGACTACCTTCTTCTGCTGCAACCTTGGACCCTGTCGTGATCGGAGAAATAAAAAAAAAGATAAGTATTTTTTCAAACATAACATCTGTCTGAAATGCTGATATTGGAATAGTATATTAAAGCTGTCTGTCGATTTTCAGATTATCCTGACTAAATTTAATCGAAGTATAACAACAAAAGACTTTACGTGCATTGAAATGCAGACTGGTCGTCCATGGACTTATCAAACTGATTTATATTGTGTAGCTGTTTCACCTCATTGTCTTTATTTTGAGGGAAACACATGAGAGCTGTTTTGTCTGGTAACCGTTGGTTCATTAATTGAAAAATGTCAAGGTAATGTATAACACTTTCATTGAAACATTGGTTAATTTACGTGAATTATTTTCAGATTAAATATCAATCCATTATAGTAATAATAATAATAATAATAATAATAATAATAATAATAATAAAATCAACTCTAAAGAAACTGATCATAAAGGACTGAGTGAAGTGGATATTCAATGGAGGAAGTTGAATCAGATGCCATGCAATTATTATTATAAGTAAATATGAATTTTTTCAATTACAATAAATAATAGAACGCTAGTCATTTTATTTAATAGTTATTTTATTTTTGCAGAAGTGAGGAAAGCCTTGTGAAATATTTGCAACTGTGTCCAAGGAAATATGGCTGTGGAAAATGCTCTCTCATATTCACGTCTCATATCAACTGCATGATGAGGATGTCGCCTTTGCTCATGCAAGTGTTGAAGAGCCGGATGAACTGTTAATGGAAGAAGAAAGGTCGAATGATATAAAGCGGGAATATTTCGTGAATAATACTCAATCTTTCACTTGTCCTACTTGTGACAAGGTATTTTATTTATTTTTTTTAATTTATTAGACTTTTTTCTATAAACTTCCTGTTAAGTTGAAATTATTACTGTTATTTTTATGTAGGTATGCACCCAACAAAGTGCTTTTTCAAGATACCGGTGTGGAGTTTGTCAATCACATCATTTGTCCTTCGAGAATTAGCTGTAGCACATATTAGATCTGTACATCCTCTCATGCCTTGTTAATGTCCATATTGCAAGAAACGCGCAATAATTATAAAAGAGGATTTGTTCTAATACGTGATAATGAACCTGTAGCCTGTTTATGTTAATCTAACGAATTTTTGCGTTAGTTTAAAAGAAAAAAAATGAGAATAATCCTTACTTTACTTTAACAATGCAACAGCAAAGTTATGTTTGTTAATTAAGAAGTAAGAAGCTGGCTTTACCTAAAATAATGTAAAAATAAAATTAAATGATTTAAAATAGATCAATTGGAGTTATTAATCATTAACCTTTATTTTCATTAATATTTGCATAATAAAATCATTGGTTCATAATACGTTGCACCGGTGAAAATATTCAGCGTTTCGTATTTACCGCGCGGCGTAGTAATATGTAAAATAGTACGGCGCATGCGCTTTTCATTTAACCCGAATTAACCCGAAGGAAACTCTTTCTCCGGGACAACTATAAAATACAGGGTGAGTCAGTAATTATTCTCGATCCGGTTACCCAATGTGTAGAATTGGATTCTAAGTATCGAAATAAAGGTGGAGAAAATTCGCAATTCTGTATAAGTTGTGAATAAAAATGTATAAAAATGGGCCAGTACATATGAAGTTTATCGCTACTGACGATCATCACGACACCTACAACTGTCAAAAATGCGGATCAGAGTGAAGTTAACTGAGTGACACAAGCGAACATATTGCTCAATTCAACTGTTTGCGGGAAATTTTTTGAACGTGAGCAATCAAACTCAGTACTCGAAATTTAAAAAAAACTTATTGAACTAAGAGTTAAATGAAATTGGTAGTATTAAATTATTATCATACATGATGATCTGTAATTCTAGTCTTAGCAATTTTAAGTAAGTAATTAAACGTGGTATAATTTTGAACTGACATTACTTTTCTATAGATATGGCTGTTTCTATACTAAATTAAAAAACACAAAACAAAAAAACATTTTGTGTTTTATAATTCTCATACTTTTTATAACATTGAGACGAGATTAAATGTTCTTTAATTGCCATTTTTTTTTTCAATCTTCAATTCAAGTGTTCGTGTCTTGATTTTGAACAATAACGCTCAAATCTCCAGAGGGTTCTCAGAGGTGGCCCGCCAAACGCGTTGCTGCCAAAAATTTCTCACCACAGTGTTTCTTGATCACCTCGAGTTAACTATTTGATAAATTTTACAATTCGAATTATGAGACGCAACTACGCTCGTTAAACAATATAATTAGTAAGATCGTTCAGCAGGATTAATTGCCTAGCATACTGGTGATATTCTCATGTTGTACCAGTGTCAGTAAATGGCTTTCTGTGTAGCTAGTTCTGATCTTCTCCACAACCAATGACTGGTTATCACAGCTTATGGTACTCCTTCAGTTTCCTTCCAGCTACCAACGGCTTTTCCACAATAAAAATAAGCTGAATACAATGATTCGTTCTTTTCTACTTCACACGCGTTTACATTTATAATTGAATTACTAGCAATATTTTAAGATAATTTCTACATAAGAAAAATTCACACCGAGTTATGAATGTTTTTTAAAATTCTGTTGGCATTGTATACCTAAATCAATACTTCGAATAATGTTAAACAAAATAGCATTTCTTTACTACTCAATTGTTATTAGTTATTACTTTCCCCAATAAATTATTGAACAGTACAACTTTAAAATAAAATTTTCATAATAAAACTTTAACCGATAAGAATTTTGATTTTATATAAGTGAAGTGGTTCAAAGTATCATAATTATACTCGACTAAGCTTTCAATAATCTATTTTAAAATGAAGTTACTTACATCCTTTCAATTTCAGCTGCTAAATGGCTGAGAACTTTAATATTCATGAAACCTAGCAAAAAGTTTTTCCATATTTGAATTGAATTTTAATGAAATTTCAGTTTCAATAATAATCGTTTCTTTATGTATATTATGAACAAATATATATATGCATATATGCAAATATATATGCATCTAAGAGAAAGATAATTTCATGCATTTTTGCATATAAAATACTTTCTGACAGATTCAACAGTAAATATTAGGTGTTTCTTAATTAAGTAGCTGATGAAGTAGACGAAGGTTAAATTGTGAAAATTCCGAGCTCAGCCCGCAGCGATTCAACGACAAGAGGAGAAACGTTGCGGAGTAATATAACTGGTTAACAGACGTTATAACTTAACACAACTGGATGACTCACCAACCAAGTTGGTTTTTCCGCTTGATCTTAATTTTACGTCAACGATATTTCGTATTCATATCATCCGCTAAATGATATGTTTAACATTGAGAAATCGTGTACATAAAGGCCTTGTGTTAATTTTTCTCAAGTTCAAGAAAATGTATGAATGCATTTGATAGTTTCTCTGTTTTGTCCTTAACATGTATCTTCATTGTTTAGAATTACTCCAGGCCAAAAGTCTTGATAATATTCTGATATTTTAGCTTTTTATAATTCACTTGAATAACGACATTTCATAACAGAACGGTTAAGATGTTTTTCAGTTAGAATACCGTAAAATGTGAAGGTGCAAAATAAGGTTGTAAATGAATGAATATTCTAAATAATCTAATTGTAAAGTAGAAGATTTCCTTTGGTCCAATTATTAACTATTTAAATCGCTTATTTCCGAGCGTATAGTAGCTTTTTTTCAGTACACATAAGGCGATAGATTCAGTTATCGATAGGCACCCAATTATTGATCGGTTGGAAAATAATTGTACAGTTCTATTTTAAAAATAGATTGAATATAAAAATCTAAATAAATTTATAATCAATAAATATTTAATATTAGTATTATTGAAAAATTTTGTTTAAACATTTTTCTTCAAAAGGCAATTTAAAGAGATTGGAATACGGACATTAACACTGTCCTGACAGTAGTCGTAGCCGTGTGAATTTATTGTGCATTAATTATAGAATAAGGATAAACATTTTTTGGTTACATATTCTTGTGAAAAATGATGAGGAGAGTATTCGTGCAAATTTTTATTACTCGGAAATAATAACTAATATTGTTTATCAAGTATCAAAGTTTGGTGAATTGCGTTTTTCCACCTTTCACCGCACTGAGAAAAATTTATGAAATTTTTACAACTCCACGCGGAGTTGACAAGATAGAATTTGAGTCTATAGCATTCTGATTCACACAAGCCTGTCGGAATCAGAATAACTATGCAGCTCCTTTTAAACCAACTGCGCGAGGGAATTGAGTAAACGCCTATACGGGCTTCGCCGTATCCAACTCCGCCGCGCAGTTGGGAAAACAGAAATTCATTTGACTCAAAATATCTTTTTTCTCAGTGCGCTTACGTAGCGAGAACGGTAAGAGATATAAAAAAAAAGTTAACTTTTTTTTGTAGAGAATCGAATGACGTTTCAATTGTAAAGGTGCGGGGACTTCTAGTGCGGAAGGTTACGTGAGCGATGACTGCTGCAACGTGTAGAATTAAATATTTGAAAAACTATAAAATACTTTAGATCGAGTAAAAATTGTTGAAAAAAGACGTATAATGTACCAAATCGCACGAGAAAGTGTGTAGAATTAATTTTTTCATAGAAAACTACAGAAAATAATTTACAAATTCGAAAAAATGAAAGAAATGTAAAAAAATATTTTATAATTACTAATAATTGTAAAAAAATTTTAAGAAAATAAATAAGTGACTGCTAGTTTGCAATAATAATGGAGTAACTGAAAAAAATATATGAAGAAAAAAAAATTGTTAATAACAATAAAATTGTTTAAAAATCAATTTAAAAAAAATTTTATAATTTTTTCGTATGTATCATTCAAAAGAGCATCGTTCATCATTAGAAAATAAATTTTCCAATAACCATAATTGTTATTGGAACTTTTGTTCTTATGAACAATTAAAAATTAACATTCTACAAATGAATTTTTAATAAATCCAACATTCTATTGATAATTTGTTATAAAAAACCTACAAATTGGATTAAAAAAAAATATGAATAATTAAAAATTACGCATTTGTCTATAAAATTTATCTATAACAAATAGGGAAAAATCCTACCTGCTCCTAAATCGGCTATAAAATGTGCCCATAAACTAAAAAAATATAAGGGTGCAAAGTTCACGAAAAAAATTTAAAAGAAAAAGACGCTTCAGATACTATGAAAAATCGAAAAATTCATTTTTTTTCTTCAATTCTAATTGGAACATATTCAGAAAACGATTCTGAATATTCCAGAATTTTTTTCAGATTTTTTAAGATGTTGGAAATATTAAAAAGGCGCTCAACGGCATATTCTGCCAGATCGCCCAAAATGCTCGATTTTCAGCGCACCTTTGCAGCACTGTACATTTTTACCTGTCCACGATAGACAGGTGCCCTCACCGACTTTTTTTGTAGAGAATTCGATTCTCTACAAAAAATCGATACGTAAGCGGTGAAAGGTGGAAAACGCAATTTACCAAACTTTGATACTTGATAAACAATATTAATTATTATTTCCGAGTAATAAAAATTTGCATAAATACTCTCCTCATCATCCTCTACAAGAATATGTAACCAAAAAATGTTTATTCTCATTTTATAATTGATGCACGAAAGCATAGGGTCCAAATTTACGGCTACTAGACTAAGACAACATTTTTAGCTCAAATTGTTAAACATCACTCTT